CAATTTAAGGTAGATTTATCGGCAATACCGTTGAAAAATTTCCAACCACCCTTGGCCTTTTCCCGAGGGATAGGTAAAGCCTGCGGGGGCGGTAACATGATTTTGAACAAAGGCAAATTGATTTTATGAATATTTACCTTGGCCTCCCCATTGACACAAGTTCGGGTTCAATACGGGTGATTTTTCTTGGTTGCGCCTCTGTCTTCGAAGGGATGCAACTGAGAGATGATAAAAGACCTATCCGGCATGAATCAAGTGAGCGGAATGAATTTTAGTTGCAGGTAGAACAGGTGAAATTATTAAAGCACAAGTTTACATGCTCTCAGTTCAATACTTGTGCTGGGTACAAATACAGACAGCCCTTCAACAACAAAGTTAATCAATGCGAGGAACCTGAGAACATACACTCGGACCACTGGTCAAAATGTCTTAGCTGCTTATGGCAACAGAACAGATACTACAATATGATCAGTCTCTGGGTCACTTCCTTGCATTTACCTTGACACCCCACCCACCACTGAATCAGGTTGTGACTCAAGGTCGGTTTTTAACGTGGTGACCTGTTTCCACTTAGGACGCTGGTCAATGTTGGTCATAGGTTGACTAAGTTGGTCATACCCACCACTATGGAACAGATGTCATGGAACAAGATTCTGTCCGTGCAATGGGGAAGAGGACTCTGGCAATGGAACAGATGCTACAACTGCAGTATCTACTCAGAGGGGAAGCTTCTCCTCCTCCTGATATCACAAATAGGTTTGTATAAAACTCAATGGGCAGAACCAATTTCAAGTGCAAGTGGAACAGGTTAACTTATTAATGGACAAGTTTACATTAGCTGAAAACTATCAGTTCAATACTTGTACTGAGCAGTAAATATACATTTGAGCTATTTAAGAACTTAACACTTTGTGCGCAATTTCATACATAAAACCAATGAAAAATCATTAATTTTAATATACCTGTGGGGAGGAGAGTTGATGGCTTAAGTGCAAGGTAACAAGGAAGGGAAAAATTTAACGTTCCATAATAACTCTCTCAGATTTCTGAATTCTGTTTCATTCCCACTGAGCATTGGTCTCGCTAAAATTTTGTCCAATGAGATTTGTTTTTGTCTATGTTTTAAAACATTTCTAAAGTGGAAAAAGGCACTGACAATGTTTATCTTGCGGCTTGCCTCTTCTTTATCAGGGTGATAGCGTTTCATGGAATATTGCACTTCACCCCATTTCCACAAATTTTGTAGATCAAAGAACTAGAAACTAACTCTCCCTCTGAAGGCATTTCCTCCACAATCGCTTTTTGTTGCCGCTAACTCTCCTTATTGTTAACTTCCAATCCACTATAGGTCTACAAGGACAACACTGAATTCAAAACCTGTGGAGGGTTATTTGGAGACATTATAGCACGTGTCTTCACTATTATAATTAAATCATATGTGTAAGTAGTCTGGCTGTTCAGTTCTAAGAACTGAGTTGCTGAAACAATGGGAGAGTCTAATGTCTTATATATATATATATGTATGTATTACATTAGGTGGCATATATTTTATATTATAAAGAGATAATCATACATTGAATCAATTAGCAATATTAATGCAATTAATGGTGAATTCTCTTTGCTAACAGACTTGATATAAGCATTAACCTAACAATCCACTGAATGTGATCCTTATGTATAAAATTGTTGTCAAATGGATCTGGTATATTTTTAGAGCAGCAAGTACTTTCAAGAACTTCATGTCGTCATCATCAGAATGTAATTTTTTCCTTTAAAATCAAAACTCGAAGACGAAATAAATGTGTTGTAGATCGAAATATGTTTTTTTAAGAATGTGCTATTTATTAACAGTTATATAATAATGGAACGTGCAAAAAAACAAAGGAAAAAAATTACAGCCGGAGGATGAGGACATGAAGTTCTTGAAAGTACTTGCTGCTCTAACAAAAAAGTCACTTGACCCATCTGACAATTCTATACATATGGATCGCATCATTCAGTGGACTATTAGTAGGTTAATGCTTATATTATGTCTGTTAGCGAAGAGAATTTGTCATTAATTGCATTAATATTGCTAATTGATTCAATGTATGATTCTCTTTATATATATATATTTTAATTAATTCATCGAGTCTGATAGAAACCACAACAGAATGCAGAAAGCACTGGACGGCCGTTTCGTCCTATATTTGGGACTCATCAGCAGTGCGCATCCACTATCGAGAATTGAAAACCGACAGTTAGGTTGTCAAGCGAACATCATACCAACTGTTCCAAATGGGCCTCGGTGACAAAGAGATTCCAAATCAGACTCAACTTAGTGCCGCTCGCTCACATATTCCGTGGCGGAACTCAACTGAGTTCTCTGTAACCATAAGTTGAGGAAAGTGAAGAGGACGATGTGAAGGGAAGAAAAGCAAGTGTATTTTAAATGCTTCGGTGGGGGGGGTTAAATTACTTTTTTTCATCCAGCCTCATATGCACTTTTCTGATATGGAAGCAAGGACTTAAGACTTCCAATTTCTGGTTTAAATAGTTCTTTGGATCCAGAAATCTCATAATCGCTAATTTTTCCTGTTAGCAGAGGTTGCAAATATGGTTGCGATTGTTTTACGGTTTTGCCAAGGTAGCAGATTTAACTGACCCCCTGATTTTTAAAGTTAAAGCTCTACATGTTATTTTTTGTTTTTTTTCACATGTGTATTGAGCACAATTTTTAATACTACTGCTTCAGGGTCTTATTCAACTTTTTTTCCATTAACCTTATATATATATATATATATATATATATATATATATATATATATATATGTATGTATGTATGTATGTATGTATGAGGAAGCACAGGGGAGTAGTGGATAGTGACACGGATTGAGGAATCTGGGAGTTGAGTTTGAATTCCAGTCAAATCCATTACATTCACTTATGTGCTAATATACTTGGAAAAGGCATTAATCCTTTTCTCCCTCTAGCTATGGGTAAATAACATGACAGACTGGGCTCTGTAGCCTTGGATGGGAACTGGTCTAAAATGCCAACTCTTAATTCAAAATCTGCGGAGGGTTGTTTGGGGTCCTTATGGAACGTAGTACACCAGATCTCTGTATTCGGCCCTTCAAAAAGTGTGGTTGATTCGGTACAAAGCCTTCACCACTATAATCAAATCATATGTACTGATGTCTGGGCTGTCGGTTCCTAGCAACTGAGCTGTTTGACCCTCATATGTCGAATACGACGGGAGAGTCCACCATATATATAATGAAATGGATTCATCCTGACAATTATTTAATACATTTTCTGTATGTACATATATACATGTAGATATGTATGTACATACATACATGTATATATATATATATATATATATATATATATATAATATAATATATATATATAAGTGTGCATGTGTCCAATATTATATATGAGTGGTACTTATTAGAAAGTGCTCAATATCAGTGATAGAGCTAACATATTTAGTTGGATTGATGTGAGTTTATGATCGTCAGACAAATTCGTTTGTCTGATGATCGCAAAAGTGTGAAACCCAGGTTCACAAACTTTCATCAATCCAACATATATATATATATATATATATATATAAGGAATTTATGGAGTTTATTTTTAAGCTGACATTATTAATGTAGAAAAATAAAATCCAGTTCCTTAGAAATTACTTTGTGCCAAGCAGTTGGAAGCAGGCTAGATCAGACACTAAATTTCCTCACAAAGATGGATGCAGGTTCAAACAGGCGAGTAGATGCAATATTAGGCATGTATGCCAGTGTGTCTGTTAAGTCATGGGAAATTCAGTACACACAAAACAAGTTTGATTTTATCTGTGGCAGCAATTAAAAATATTATCCTGAAACACAATTTTTTAGTCTCTGAGAATAAGACACATTACCTTTCTTTTATTGTTCAACTAATATTTACAAATTTTTCTTTAAAAAAAAAAAAAAAAAAAAAAAAAAAAAAAAAAGAGAAGAAAAAACAAACAAACAAAAAAGACATAAAAAAAGAAGCTTATTTCATGGATGGAAGGTTATTAAAGTTAATGTTCAAATGTTACCATTGTGAAAGAGCCATTTTTTTATTTCTTGCTTTTGATAGAATCAGATGTTGCTTTCTTTCCCTTATTTCTTGCAATTTGTTCACTTCAAATACTGATGAAGTCAATCTGTCGATTCGAAACAGTCATAAAAGAACAGAAAACCATCATTTTTTTTTTAACTGTTTATGAAAGGGAAGCATAATTTTGTCTCACAATTAAATGTTGAAGTCGAGAAGAAGTTAAATTTTTAGAAATTAAAAAAAAAAAAAAAGAGAGAGGCCATTTTGCAATAGAATGAAACTCGAACTTTGACCAGTTTCCACAATGAATCATTTGCCATGGAATCTTTTTATTTGTGTTTTGTTGTGTTTCTTTTTCTTTTTTAAGTTCTTTTCTATGTCTGTTGCATTGCCAACAAGCCTAATTGTTGTGATTGCTGAAAAACATTCTTTTTGGCTTGTTTTTGCAATATGGTAAGATTAAAGTATTTAAGCTATATTTATGAAGAAAAGAAAAAAGAAAGTCATTTAGGCAAAAGTAAAGTAGAGAGATTGAGAGAGAGACATCAACAAAAAATTAAATTAAATTATAACATTAAAAAAAATAAAATTTTAATCTTTCCACAATGCCCTAAAAAAAAAAAAAATACTTTCCCCCCAGCAAAACAAAGAGAAAAAAAAAATAATCTTTTTGCAGATGAACGTCCATCGGGAGAGGAAGAAAAGATAAAATAGAGACTTCAAGATCTGATGATATTCAACCTATCAACTGACTGCATTTGATGCAACATGCAAAAACGGAGGTCACTGATTGTCCAGTACCAGTCAAAGACATCCCTATCATCTTGTCTACATTCTCCCTCAGCCAGTAGCACAATCAGGAGTGAAGCGACAGCTGCAATTAGGCTACCAAACAGCTATTCCACACCACTGGTCAACACATATTTGACCATGTAGACAAATGCTGCAAATACAACAACAACAAAAATGTTGGTGACTGCACAGCTGAAGAAGCCACAATATCGGTAATTGGTCGCTATAGGGAGTTGATTGGTGCTTTGTTGACCACTGGTCAAGGCATTAGATGAATTTTTCTGTAATTCCTCCTGTCGGATACTCTGAAACAAAAATAAGAAAACATTGATAATAGAAAAATAAAAAAAAAACGTTTTACAAACAGAAACAGACACGAAATAAGGAAAAAAAATTCATATTTATGTAACCGCTAAACTGATCTCCCACTTGATGTTGTCTAAGCTGTTTAATCAATGCTTACTGGTTTACGATTGAGTTTCCAGTTCCTTCTCAAGACTACTTCAACTCTATATTACTGTCTATACAGAAACTCTGAAATTTTATTTACTATTTATTTATTTTTTCTCAATAGGAGTAAATAGTTTCACCCCTATCACCCAGTTCACACACCCCCTCTGTGTTTTGAACAGGAATAGATGGCTCATTCCCAAAATATCATGGAAAATTAGAAAAATAGCAACAACCTACAACAATAAATCCAAAAATTGTAAACTCTGGTTAGGAGAAAATTGCCATAATCACCTTCACAGACCGACAAAAAATGACAGAACAAATTTTTATGACTTAACTAAAAAACTGAAAACTAAAAATAATAACTTTTAAAAATACTACCATGAAAAATGTAAATATATGCTCTATATACAATGCAGATAATGTAACATACTTTAGACAAAACCAATACTTTAAAGTGGGTACCTCCACTTTTCTGTGGAAAACAAGATAATGTAATGAAAAAGGCCACAAACTAAATAAAAATAAAGTTTTATTGTCAAATTGTTTATGTTATTATTAAGATGAAAGATTAAAGAATTTTTTAATCCTTTCTAAAACATTTGAAATTTTGGTTAAAATCTTCTTTTGCTTACGTCATCACGGTGACATGATAATTACATTGACTCTTTTTGTGCTTTTTGTTTTTTGGTAAAAAATATTTTTTTCTTTTACATATGTTCCTCTGCACTTACTTAATTTCATGAAATTTCACAAAAAATATTTTTATTTGTTAAAAGTAGGACTCGTTGGAGAATGTAAATCACCTAATTTTTTTTTTCAAACTTGCACTATTTTAACTGCAAATCTGCTTTGCATTGAAAAATAATGAATTCAATAAAACTATGCCATTATTTAATTAGAAAAGCTTTTAATTGCTTTTGTAAATAATTTATTTTAAGGACATTATTGTCTGAAGAAATAAAAATTTTTTAAAGAATTTTTGCATTTTTTTAAAATTTTAATTATAATAAATTTATAATAATTTAAAGTCGTGTAAAATTCCATGTTGGGCTATTTCCTAAAAGTGATATAGTAATTAAGTGGAAATAAAATTTACGAATCCAAAATTGAAAAGATTACTAAACCTAGTTACACTATTATATTTTTAAAATAATTTTTTATTTTTTTATTTGATTTGTTCCCTTTTTTCATCTATGAAAAGCTAAATGTATCATTATTATGAAAAGGTCACGTGATCTAAGAGTTTTGTCTCTTTACAGAGAAATTAATTTAGGAAAATTTTATAGTATTTTAAATTTTTTAATTTTGTATAAAGCATTTGCGAAAGGTAAATAAAAGTCAATAAATTATTAGATAACTGCAGAAAATGTTCATTTGTAAATTTACTAGGTAGTTAAAAAAAAAAAAAAAAATCTGTTCATTTAGATTTCGTAAATTTGTCAATTCTAGTCAGCCATACTAGTTGTCATCACTTCATCACTCAAATCGTCTCAGATAACCAGGACCAATCATTAACAAATGGTTGTATATTACTTTTTTATGCTGTCAAATCAGATTAATTTAACATTAAATTTTCAAATTTTACTCAAATAATGTGTCAGAAATATATATATTTTTGGAAGAATTTTAAAATTGATAAATTTGTTTTGTTTACAAATTTCTTAAAATTAAGAAAATAGCCACTTTTAAGAAATCAAAATTACATTTGACATTCCAAACTATATAATTTTTAGATCTGAAATGCACCAGAATATTTTACTTACGGGAAATAATAAATTTAAGCCTTTAGCTTTCAAATAAATTTAAAATAAAATCTTCAAGAATGCTTTTTCATCTTTAAAAATTCATTAGGTATTGAAAATTTATGCTGAAAAATTAGGGGTACCTACTTAGACCTATAAGACTTCCAAGAAAAACAAAAATGATCAATGTAAGCATCACTTTAGTCTGTTGGAGTCCTAAGGGATGAAATGTCATACAAAATTTTTTTTTTCTGTTTTGTCATTATATACACTCATATATATATTTGTCAGGAAGGAGACTTCCTGATGTTATTGGACTGGAGGGGGTCGATCCCAGTGTGTGGCACCTTTGGAAAATCCATGGAAATCAAACCATGGATTGACCCAAGCCTTGAGAATGAAATTGGGAAAATGGAACCCGTGGGAGCCATTGATAGCTGTCCTAGCATGAAGTCACAAGTTATCATGGCTGAGGGTTTGAGTGTGCTGGCCTTGTTCAGATTGTTGATCACGCTAGATAACACGTTTTCCCCAGAAACTGTAACTAAGGTCTGCTCAGCATAGGTGCAGTACAAACCACAGGTGGGTTCTGCGAGAGTTGAATAAACACAAATGCATCTGAGCAAGTGTCTGCAATAGGGATTGGCTAGCTGCCCTAGTAGACGGGTATCCTCAAATACTAGTGGCCAGCTATACTCTCATACACACATGGTTGAAATTTCCATGGTGGTATTTTGCATGGTATTAATTTTTAGTTTGTGATTTTTAAATAATGTAATAAAAATCTGTTTCCGTGTCTGCATTTTGAGATGAGTTCTGTTTAGCAATTTGTGTTGGTCTGGGAAGGTGATTATGTTTCATGCTTAAATGGATTCCTCAGGTCAGATGATTATGTTTGTGTATGAAACAGACTGCTGCTGCTGACATCAATGTCCACATATATATATTTACATACAGTCTATACCTGATATCAACCACTTCAACTCATAAATAATAGCATACCTTAAAACTATATACATTATTTAAATTATTTGCACTATTGTCCTAACTTTGTTACCACATTTATTACAACGTTTCGGCCGTTGTACGCTCCTGCCTTCTTCAGGTGGTTGGAATGTCGAACTGAACCCTTTATTTCGCTCACTGGGGTAGACTGTTCTAGTTCCATGTGCCATGTTTAATGGATGTCAGTTATCAGGTATCTCATGTTAATTTCCCTCTGAAAGTTCTCCACTGCCTTAACCAGATATTGACAATAGTTCAAATAATGTAAATAAGGTACATAATACGTCATCTCAGAAATATAGACTGATAGTTAAAACTATATTTTACCACACACACACACACACACACACACATATATATATATATATATATATATATATATATATATATATATATAGTGCTATTGACTACTGGTGTTTGTAAACATCATGTATATAATATGTTAAAAATTTCCCTTTCACTACCATACGCCGATAGCTTAGGGCCAGAATTCTGACTGATGCCAAATTGCTCGAGTTTCAATCCTGGCTTGAAACAATCCGATGTTAAGCTACACTGATGAGCTGTGATACACCAAAACAGGCTTGTACGTGGATGATGTATATATATATATATATATATATATATATATATATATATGTCTAGATAGAGGAATGAACAGATCAAGATATGAAGAGACTTTTCTTTGACCAACCACTGGCTCAACTTCCAAGATGAAATAAAGAAAGAATTTCTGTTCTTTGAGAGAAAAGTTTTGGCAGAGATATTGAACTTTGGGAACATATTTTTTTTTCTTACCTCAACAATTTCTGGGAAAAGATCACAATATGTCTTGTTCTGGAGGTTAAACTGCTTACTTTGGGCAGCCAACTGTCGTTTCTGAAAAAGACATTTCTTTCATTATTTTATTAGTAATCGAGACAAGCAGTTTAGTCATTTCAATTTTACTTTTATCTTGCCTAAGGATACGCAGTCAGAAAGGATGAAATGTGCAACATTAAGAACCTGTACAAGAGTTCAATACAAAGCTCAGTGATCATTTAATATGATTTTATAACAACACATTTTTAATAATTTTACTGCCAATCTTGATTTTCAAGTAGATTCTAAGGATTCTGAATGTGGTTTTATAGCAAGTCAGAAAGGATGAAATCATTTTCAAAGATTCTCAAGTCTTTAATCCCATCTTCAAGGTTCTGATTCTGAATGTACAAGAGTTCAATATGATTTTCAAGTAAATTATCTTTAATCTCATCAGTGATTCATTTAATATGATTTTATGGCAACCCCATCTCCAAGGTTCTGACATCTCTATAATGGTCATATAGTGCCAAACAAGGATTTTCAAGTAGATTCTCATAGTCTTTAATCCCAACTCCAAGGTTCTGATTCTGAATGTGGTTTTATAGCACATTGACTCCTATATAATGGTCATGTAGTGCCAAACAAGGATTTTCAAGTAGATTCTCATAGTCTTTAATCTCATCTCCAAGGTTCTGATTCTGAATGTAGTTTTATGGCACATTGACTCCTATATATTGGTCATGTAGTGCCAAACAAGGATTTTCAAGTAGATTCTCATAGTCTTTAATCCCATCTCCAAGGTTCTGATTCTGAATGTGGTTTTATAGCACATTGACTCCTATATAATGGTCATGTAGTGCCAAACAAGGATTTTCAAGTAGATTCTCATAGTCTTTAATCTCATCTCCAAGGTTCTGATTCTGAATGTGGTTTTATAGCACATTGACTCCTATATATTGGTCATGTAGTACTAAAAAAGGATTTACACTATTTACATTCAGGCTATTCCCTTCATCTCTGTTGCTATTCAGTTCAGAATTCACTGTAGGTTCACCAAATTTATATATATATATATATATATATATTTGACAACCCATCTTACATTATTTCAGATTGATATTGCTTAACCATTGAAGAAAAGAAAATTAGGAAAGGTAATAATAAGTAGATAAATATAAGAGAAATCAATTTAATGTATAGATAACTGTAAAAAAAATTCTATTCATCACCCACACAAAAAAAAAAAAAAAAACATTTGATAAGAATAGGGAAATACTTACAGTGTAGTCTGAAGTTTCAAGACTTCCCAGAGTCGGACTTTTCTCCAACTACAGAAGATAAAAAAAAACGTAACTGAAGTAAATTGCTCATCTGTTAATGATTAAAACGAAATTGATTCATTATTGAGTAATTAAAATACAGTCGAAGTTGTATAAAAGTCAACTTCAATACCAATTTGTTTACAAACAATTTTTCACCTGTTGTATTTTCTTAAGATTATCAGTCCATTTTCTCTACCCAATCCAATGTCATGCTTGTATATACACTGGCCAATTCCTAGGCTAACGGTACATCATAGCTTCCCATGGTTACATCAAATGTTCTTTCTGTGCTTTTCTTTAACCATGCTACTTTGTTGTCAAATAGTATATAATATTTTTTTTTACAATTATTAGTTGATCTTCTATGATTATAGCTAGGGATTAAGCCTATCTAAATCACTGATTGATGGACAAAATTCTTTAATATCAAGAGGGAGGCTGCTGGAAGACTATGTCTGGCAACAGGACTCAGCACCATGCCACACAAGCAGGAGAAACTAGACATCAGTATTATTTTCATTTTTGACTACTGTTTTAAAATTGTTATAACTTTCTTTGTATTGTGGGTATAGATTTTCTTTTTTGTACACTAAAAAGAATGAGTAATATTTTGATGTAATGCATTATGTTTTGTATGCATGTTTTGACGTTGAAAACTAAAAAATTGAAATGCGAAATAAAAAAACAAATGCATTAAAAAATGCATAAATTCAATGTACCTTAACTTTTATTACTCCTTGCAGAGATTTCGGGGTACAATAAGAAGCAAAATCACTAAAAAGGCTTTTATTTTGTCAAAAAAGTGACATGTCTCCCCATGTTTACATATAAGAAGACACTAGCATTTGTTTGCCCCTTCTTTCTTTCACCCGACTCATATTTGTCTCATAGATGAATAAACTTATTATTTCATCATTTATAAATAGACAAAATAATTCGTCTTCAGAAAGGTTATTAGTTATATTGATAGTCGCCAGTAGCTTCCATAAAATTAGTCAAGCATAGATGATAGTAGCTGCTAGTGGTCATCATCGCTTTCCTCCATGTCACTTGCGAGGTTATCATCTTCAACCCAACTCAATATCCACTCAAGTAATACCTTCAAAATCATCATCAGAATGATAATCAAAGAAAAACTCCTGAATAAAGACTTTGTTGGATATTGAAGTGGCCACTTTTGTTTACAAAAAAAAACATCACAAAAAAATTAATGGGAGTTTAACTGAGGTTACACCTTGTGTAGAGTCTAAAAGAATTCAAAATGTCGTTGGAAAATGGTAGTTAAACCTTGTTCCAAAGCAGTAGTAAGCGATTTCCAGCTTAAAATACCGGAAATAACAGTTGACAAGTGTTTATTTATAGCAACCGTCTTGGGTGGCAGAATGTGCCCAGAGTAGCAAAGGGAGAGAATTCTCTGGTGACTATTGTTGCCTGTGGTGTGGTAAAAGTTAATGACAAATTTATTGATTTATTGGTCTCCATCCATATATCAAAATAACAGAAGGTTCCTGGAAACAGATGTTACTCATATAAAATATCATTGAATAACAATAACTATGCATGCCACTCACAAAACACACATGGAACATCAAATGCACAACACAAAAGACATTACAAATAAAACAGAAAATAAGAAAAACACCAGTTTACGACAAACACCTTATAACAATGTAACTTTTGCCTATAAGAAAAAATAGCGGTAATCACCTTTCTGGAACTATGATTGATTAGTTGATTTTTTTTATGGTTTATCAACCTTTTGCAGGTTATTTATACCAAGAAAACATTTTAAATGTTAGAATTTCATTTGGAGATAATGATGTTTTTACTGATACAAGTCCTACTAATTAATCCATAGCTAGGGGAAGAAGAGGTGGATTCATACTTAATGAGAATTTGATAAACAAGAAATTATATTCTTGATATAAATGGGGGATCAATTCTATATTGCAATCAATGTGTAGGCTGATCCCTCAATTTGTGGCCAGAGTGTAAATAAATCTAAAAGACATGCCTGTATAGCTAATCAGTATTTCATTAATCCATTTTCTACAGCTTATCAACCCATTGCAGGTCATATTTTTTTCCCCAAGGGTATTTGCCCATAAGTGAGTATAACAAAACGAACTGGAAATTTGAAGTCAACTTTCCAATTCGGAGCTGTTATCCATTATAACACATGCACATCTGTTGGAAACTGGAAATGCATAAACAACATATGATCATACACACACATTTTGAGAATTATAGATTTTTGCATGTCTGGAAAAAAAAAATCAATTACCATTCATTTAATCTAGTTTGTTAAGGTATAATTTTATGAAGTGAGAATATTCAGCTATTAAATAAAAAAAAAAAAATTGCATCTTATGTGGGATTAATTTATCTACTAATTAAATAACTATGGTAAACATCTGCTAAGTGTGTTAATTTTTTGTTATTTAAATCATTTCACCCCATGCAAAGTGATAAAGCCACTAAGACATACAGAGTAGAAAGAAACTGAGAAAACACTGAAGAAAAAGGACAGCAAAAAAAAAAAAAAAAAATAATGATTGATGTTGAATTTAAATTTTTGAAGATTGTAGTTTACAAAAAAGGAAGACGTTTGTAAAGAGTTCCACAGGGAAGAGGTGCAAGAGAAAAAAATATTACAATAGAACTTATGATTACATCTGGCCATTTGAACAGTAAAATGATGAAACATAACTGCCAATCTAGTACAACATTTAAATTCATAAAGTTATCAAAGATGAAAGCTCATCATGACAATTACTATAAAAACATTTATAGAAAAGAAACGAGGTTACAATGGTCAGAAAACGATTGAAGCTGAGATGTCGAGTCCAGATGGATAACACTGCAGATTCTTTGGATTTTATCAGAAGCATCAGACCAGATTTCATAATTTTTCGCAAGGATAATAGATTGCACCATAGTGAGAGAGAAAAAACCCAACAAAGCCTGGTAATATTGTGCAGTATTGACACATTGTATGCTGAAGAATTCTGTAAGAAGCATTATATCGACAAGAAATAGAAACTAAATATTAATTCTAATTTTTTGCTTAATGAATTCCATAAATTTTTCCCCTACAAGTTTTATGCAAATTTCAGCACTAATACAAAAATTGGTTTGGTTTATTTTATGGTATATGAGTTATTTGATGGGTTATTTAACGCCGACAACATTTTTAGGATAGATTCGTATGAATAGAATATGATTGGTTTGGTTTATTTTGTTTTACAGCATATCAACCTCAATGGGTTATTTAATGCCGACAATATTTTTAGGACAGATTCGTATAAAAAGAATATGGATTCTTTGGTTTAGATTGGTTTGGTTTATTTTGTCTTACGGCATATCAACCTCAATGGGTTATTTAATGCTGGTAATATTTTGTTTTGTCAAAAATCTGTTTCTAGTAATATTGTATTGCTGGTAATAATTTTTTCAAAAAAAGTATTGCTGGTAATAGTTAACTATTTGCCCATAGCTGGAACCCTAACAGGTGATACCACCCTGGGTCAGGTTGGACCTGGGAACACCAACAATTAAGGTGATTCCACGCTTCCTCAAAACCTCCTGATCAGATGCCTTGCTGTTGGACGTAGTTTATCGTCTTACCCAGGACAACTAATACAAAAAGATGCAGAATCCCCAACCAAACATAAGAATGCAAAGATACTTACCATAAAACTTAGAAGGCCTGTGAGGATAGTTGATACAGACCAGGCAGGGTTCCATGTGTCTGGGTGGAAATCACTAATTGACAGGCATAACCTAAATAATAAAAATAAAATAATAGGTAAAAAAATGAATCTTTTGACAAAAAAAAAAATCCTGATAAATTTGACATTTTGAAATTGAAGAAGTGAAATTGAGTTCCATGTCAGGATTCACTGGTAATAAAAAAAATAAATACAAAAATAAAAGAACATATTTACATTTGGATGATTGTCCTCATCTTTGTTGTTATTACAATGGTTCAGCCATATATTGATCTGGGTAACCTCCAGGGAATTCTGAACTGAACCCTTTATTTAATCTATGAGGATAGACTGTTCTCATTCCACTGCCCATGTCTAGGGATAACTCATCTAGTTCTTATTTTTAGTACTCCTCAGTTATTGCTGGAGGCTTAAACCTAACCTGCCTGCTGATTAGTGCTGCCTGTGATGTTATGTTTGATTGCCACTGTTGCTGCTGACTTGCTCTTGCTTGCCTTTCTCCCTTTATCAGAGGCTCTCATCATTTGGTTTGGTTTGTTTTACGGCATATCAACATCTCAATGGGTTATTTAATACCAAAAAAATTTTTTATTGCTGGTAATATTTTTTTTTCCAAAAATGTATAGCTGTTTGTATTGCTGGCAATTTTTTTTTTTTTTTTATTGCTGATAAGTTTTCCTCCAAAAAATTATTACTGGTAATAAAAAAAAAACTATTTTTACACTTTCATAGTATTTTGACCCAAGTCTGGGCGTTAACTATTTGCCCATATCTGAGACCCGAACAGGTACTACCACTCTGGGTCAGAGTGGACCTAGGAACATCAGCAATTAAGAAGTGGTTCCACGTTCCTCAAAACCTCCTGATCAGAGGCCTTGCTGTTGGACGTAGTTTATCGTCATACTCAGGACTGCTCTCATCTTTTATTTATTCTTATACTAAGTCTACTAAGCATAAATCTACCCCATAGATTAAATAAAGGGTTGTTACCCAGATCAATATACACCTGAGGAAGGTCAGAGGGCACAACACCCGAAACATTGCAATAACAAAAAAAATGAGGGAAATGGTCTGAGTATAAATAGGCCCAGCAATTACAAACAATAAAGAATATTTGAAAGTAAGAAAATTATATGTGGTCATAAAGTGGGGGATACATTCCTATATTCTAACCCAATTGTAAACTGAACTCTGATTCTTGGTTCATTCTTTTGTAAAATTGTCAGTCTATAACAAAGTATATATAGGCACATGGCCGAGTGGTTAGAATGTTCACATTCTGTCCATGAGACCCGGGTTTGAATCCCACCAGGGTCGATTTGTCAGAAAGGAGACATCCTGATGTTATCAGACTGGTGGGGTTGATCCCACTGTGACTGTGCAGCACCTTTGGAAAGTGCCTGAAAACCATACCATGGGTTGATCCAAGAGTTTAATTGGGAAGATAGTGCTAACACAGTCACAAGTCATTGTGGCTGAGGGCTTGAGTGTGCTGGCCTTATTCAAATTGTTGATCACACTAGATAACACGCTCTTTCTGAGAAACTGTAACTAAGGTCTGCTCAGCATAGTTGCAGTATAAACCACAGGTGGGCTCTGTGAGTGTTGAATAAACACAAATGTGCCTGAGCGAGCGTCTGCTCGCCACCCTAGTAGTATGGAAATATATTGCATTTTTGAAACAAAATATATTTGACAGGGCCAGTTGATACTCATAAGTCCTGGGTGGGGGGATAACAGTAAATATAAAACAGGATGTAGTAAAGTCTTATCATTGGTCTTTGAACTGACCAATCAGGAATGAGCAAGAAGATTTACAGGTACAAAAAGTAGTCTTGTTCTCCAATTTTCTCAAATCAAGTTTGGCTTCGTATCAAGTAGAAGTTTGATAAAAAAGAAAAAAGGTATTTAATTTTCTCCCTCACCTGGTCCTCTTACTTATCTTGCTGATGAGTAATCAGCAACATTTCATGTTTGGAACAAAGATTTGCCAGATACAGACCCTACATGCTGGGTGATTTATTATGACGAGCTAATCTCCTGTATAGTGAAGAGATGACTTTTGATTTTCAATGATGAAGTGAGATAATGGTTTGTGGTATTAGGCTTAGAAGAAGCCATAAGAACCTCTGAGAAGAAAAAAAAAAAAAAAAAAAAAAAAAAAAGCACAGAGTGATTAGTGACAATGATGAAAGGAATTCAAAGAAAACTATTTTCTATTCTAACCAATTTGTAAACTAAACCCCAATTCTTGCTTCATTCTTTCCTGTTCTCTAATCCAAGAACGATGAAAGCAATTCAGAGAAACATGCTTCTTGAGAACCAAAATTAAGATACAAAAAATTGGATGAAGACATAAAATGGGGAAACCCATTTGCTATTCTCTGTTCTCTAATCCAATACTGATTTAAGAAACTCAAAGAAATGTACCTCTTGGGAATTCATATTTTTTTAAGTAACAGTTGTAAATTTGAAAAAATATGGAGTGTTTAGTTTTGGGGTTATAAGACTGATCCCTTAATTTATTACGAAACATAATGTCACAATAAAAAAGGGATTTAAGGAAGATATTGAATTCCTTTACCCTTATATATAAAAAAAAGAAAGAAAAACGAAGATGCTGACAAAGAGATTCATAAGACAATACTGAAATTGGCCACAGTTTTAAAAGAAAATGTGGAAATAGAATACGTACTTTGTATTACACTTGAATCTTCCACTGGGGGTCAGCATGTAGATACTTGGTGGCTTGAAAGGATATTCTCGAGGGAAAACCAATTTGCCATGGTACATGCCACCTTCAAAAGATAACAGATATTGTTAAACAACTCCTTTATTGATAAAAACAAAGACATGAATAGAGGAACAAATTTTCTGCAATTACAGAATTGTGAACAGAATTGTTAATCTTAAACGGAATCTGGGTTTTTAATGTAATTTTCAATAATAAATAACAGATTTCTTTCAAAATTTAATAATTGTCTCTCCAATTGTGTTAAACATTTTAATAAATATAGCAATAACAATAACCCTAGTTATTTCCTTAAAATTTGTTTTTGCAAATATTTGTAGTTATTTTTCCTTTTAAGTCTCAAAAAGAATTAAGAAAAATGTTTTCTTAAAAAAAAAGGGTTAATTTATAAAGTGCCCACAGTAATAAAAATGTTCCATTAAGGCATGAAACTGCCTGATTATTTAAAAAATGACATTAAAGGTTTGCATTCTATTACCATTTAGGAGTTACAAACAGTGTAAGTTTGACTTCTTTTGTGTTCCATCAATAGAATGGCTGCCATTACTGGCTTTGTTTACATGTTTGCCTCGAGAAGGGAAAAGGATTTTAAATAAATAAATAAATGATGTTTTCTTTTTTTTTTTTTTGAGAAAAAGGGTTTACCTATGACATTATTTATTTAGAAAAAGCTTTCAATTGTTTCTATAAGAAAATTAAACCAATTTAAAAAAAAAAAAAAAAGAATTCATTATTTAAAGCTTCACTTTTCTACAAAGAAACACTTAATTGAAAAAAAAAAAAATTAATACCAATTAAATAAAAACGATTCATATAAAGCTTCCTTTAACCCTAGAACACTAACCATTAAAGTTACACCACTACTAACCATGGGTATATCATACCTGATTTTGAAAATATCAAAAAAAATATTAAATATAAATCTAAAAAGAGGAGGAGGACAACAACACTCAGAAAACAGTCTGCCTGCCTTATGTGAAGGGGTTATCAGAGAAAATACAAAGGATCTACAGACCATATAACATCAGGACAACCTTCAAAAGCTGGACGACACTTAGCAGATATCTCTCCCGAGTAAGAACCCTCCCCTTAGAAGAGAACATGACTAAAGACTGTGTGTACTCTATCCCGTACAGCTGCGGAAAGAAATATAAAGGGGAGACAGGCCTCCCACTTAAGGTAAGGCTTCAAGAACACCAGAAAGCTGTAAATGAGGGGAAGTGGAAAAAATCAGGCATAGATGACCACATATGAGAGAAAAGGAGATCACTGCCCTCTGTGGGATCAGGTTGAGATCATAGACAAAAAGAACCTCATTGGAAAATTTGTAAACTTAAGGAATCAGCACATATGCTAGGCCACAAAAATCTCTTCTTGAGCCAACCAAGCATAGAAATAAATACAATATGGGAACCAGTAAAGGAGTGACAGAGAAAAGCAATAATAACAAAAAAAAGTTGCAATATGAGCTCTGGTAAAAAATGCAATGATAACAGCAAAATTGCAATATGAGCACTGTAAAAAATGGTTGCTGAAGACATTAGGTTTATAATACCCAGAAATTCATACCATGACCATGATGTTCCTCAAGGACACATGGCACAGTGGATAAAGGTGTTGGTTAGATCCAGTGACAGGACCCAAAGAGTGTGAGTTCAATACCCAGTTAAGGCAGTGGAGAACTTTCAGAGGGAAATTAACAGGAGATAACTGACATCCATTAAACATCCATGGAACTAGAACAGTCTTTAAGGTGAGTGAAATAAAAGGTTCAGTTCAACATTCCAAACCACCTGAAGAAGGCCAGAGTGTACAACTGCCAAAACGTTGTGATAAATATGGTGACAAAGATGAGGACAATAGTCCGAATAATGTAAATAATGTACAAAGACCTCATCAACAGAAAAATAATGTAAATATATAAACCCTTTATTTGAAACATTCAAAACATGCAAAAAAAAACTTTTCTTCTCAGAGTTAAATTAATAGGAACTGAAAAAACATTATTTATTTTGAAAAATCAGTTTACTGAAAATTGTAATTAAAAAAGGAAATTTTTGCACTGGGTCCTATATTTCATTGTTCATTTTCAATTTTCAAAAGGAAAAAAAGAAAAAGTGATATTTTAAAAAAACCTTTCACAAAAATTATTCCTGTTTCTAAATCATGATAAGTAAGAAGATACATATAAAGCAGTAAAAAGGCTTTAATTAAATTTTATCTATATATTAAAAAAAATATAAACTAAACAAAACTAACAATGGTGGTTGGACAACATTGAAAGAGATCAAACTTGGATTCAAAAATAAATTTTTAAATGAGCAACTACTACTAGGAAAAAAGTTTTAATGTCATTTTCTGAAAATAATCAGGCAATTTGAACCCATAATGGAACATTTTCATTACCGAGGGGCATTTGGTGCTTATACTGCAAATTGACCAAAAAAAGAAAACTGGTTTGTGGATTTTCTGAGAATATGTTAGTATATTTTTAAATATTTTCTTTTGTTTTTCTAAGAAATTCTTTCTGGTTTGCAAAGAAAATGAAAGTTCAAAAATTCCCATAGACTCACAGAATACACGGAGTTAAGTTTGTTTATCTTCCTGGATGAGATAAAAATTTTCATGAGTTTTATCAGGGTTCCTTTTTGCTTAAAGAAAGATATTTGAACAACTCAATAATTTGCTCAAATTTAGATAAATGGAAAGCAAGTCCCAAAGCAACTGGAAATGGGGCTTCAATCAAATGTTTAAGGATTCGTTAATATTTAAAAAAGTAAGGAGAAAGAGAGACAAAGTTATAAAAACTAATAAGTTTAACAAAGGCTATATTTCCTTTAAGGCTCAATATCAGAGATTTGCATAGTAAATGTTGTTCCAAACAACTTGTAACCTTGTGTTATAAAGAGAAGAATGAGTTAAATAAATATATTAACAGAAACAGTTGCCAACCATAAACAAGTTAGCAAGAAAATAAAGAGAAATTTTTTTCAAAAACACCATTCTATAAAGACTTACCTTGTCTATTCCAAGCTGGGAGAGCCCATGTCACACAGCAATTCTCCCAGATTAAAAATTGCATCATTTGAGGTTAACTTTACCATTGTAATTTAAATTTTGGAATGCAAATGCCATGTAGATTTCCTCCTCTGGAACAGATTGCCAATAAAGCATCATATCAATGCATTGTTACAAGTGTACATGATGAACATTCTGTTATTTTCAAGTATAAACATTGAGTAGAAATAAAGGATCCAAAAAGTGGTTATCCAAAAAATGACAAATACCAAGCAACTCACAATGTTGTATTAAAAATGAAGAAAAAATATAGAAAGTAATTTGAAGGATTAAAATAGAGTAAATTTGCACAAAACATCCCAACAAAAATTTAACCAAACATTTCAACTTGGGATAAGTTTATAAAAAATTAAAATCAAAAGTTGAAATACTACTCAAAAAAATGATTAAAAAATAAAAAGCAAATATAATTTACATTTTGGTTAACCATAAAAAATGAATCTTTGAGGAGAAAATATCAAAATTAAAAATTACAATAAACATTAATATATGTCAGAATGATTTGTTTTTTGAAATTTTTTACAAATATTAATTAAAAATTATGGTTAAAATAAATGTTTTGTAAAATGTTTAGTCAAAATGCTATACTTTATTTAGATATTTATTATTAAGGTTCAAGTTATTAAGAGAAACCCGGATATTTTTATATTATGAATCAATAATTATAAATCAATCTAAATACTTAAAAATAATTTGAATGCATTTTGAATGTGATATAAAATTTTTTTTCTCTGATTAAAGCCTGACCTCAATGATTATAAAACATTCCATTGTTTTATTGTCTAGTCAGGTTACATTTTTCTTTTTTTTTTTTACATATTTATTTTTGGACTTGGATTTTAACATTAAAAAAAATATTCATAGATATTTGCTATTTCTTTATATGCAATAAAAGAAAAGAATCAATAATTAAAAATTAATAATAAATAATAATGAAAGCATAAAAATAAATACAATATGGGATCCAGTAATAAGGAGTGCTAGAGAAAAGCAATGATAACTAGAATAATTTGAAATATGAGCTCACCTACCCAATAACTGTTATGAAAACAATAACTTTTCTAAAAAATGCAACAATATGAGCACATATAAAAATGGTTTGCCAAAACCAGACACATTAGGTTTATAATCAAGCATGAAAAATTCATATGATGGAAAAATGTTTTTCAAGGACAGTTCAGTTTTTAGATCCAGTGATAAGACCAAAAAAGTGTGAGTTCAAACACGGTTAAGGCAGTGGAGAACTTTGAGAGGGAAAATTAACAGGAGATAACTGATCCATCAACAGTTTAATTCCCAGATGGTTGAAATATTCTTTTTCAGTTAGTTACATTCCAACCAAGTGTAATCCAGTTTGCTTGTGATAAAGCAAGTTCAAACAAAGATGAGGACAATAGTCTGAATAATATATATATATATATATATATATATATATATATATATATATATATATTTTATATATAAAAAAAAAAAGAAAAGAGTGCTGAATTGATATATGATATTAATCCTCTTATATAGCAGCAAATGCTAGACAATTTCACCACAGATGAAAACTGGAGGCAACATTAATGTGTTAAAACAGAAGTTTATTTGAGTTTTCCATGGATGCTGAGAATAAACTTAAGGAAAATTTATTTAATCTCAACTCAACTTAAAAATAATTAAAAATTTGAATAATAAATCAATAAATCAATTTAGTTTTAAGATAAATTATTTTGGTTTTATTCCACATATTAATGAGACCTTTATCTTCAATTCCTTTGGATTTAACACATATTTTAAAAAAATTTTCAGCTGTAGATTTTATATATATATATATATATATACTTTTGTAGGTATATATAGGGGAAAAAATGCAACTGTTACATCTACTGGTCAGAACTCTTTTTCACCCAATTTTGAATTTATTTGGTTTGAACGTGTTATTAAATTCTAATAATGATGTGAATCTCAGGGACGAGGATCTAATATTATTTACATGCAGACTATTGTCCCCATCTTTGTTATTATCACAATGTTTGGAGAACTATTGTGTCTTTATTCAAAGTTTGTCAAAAATTTTGAACTGGAATATTCAGTATAAATTTGTTTTCATGTTTTTATTTTAAATATTGTGTTTAGCTTTTTAGTCATGTTCATTTTTGCTTATCCTTTTTCCATCTTCAAAAACAAGAGAACAATGGATTGAACTCACAATTACCATATTACCAAATTCATGGAACATATTTTGCTTCCAAAAATAACAATTCTTAAGTGGAAAACTGAGATTGGGAAAAATTCCAGGACACTCATATATTTTGATGAGGTTTATATATACAGGGGTCGGACAAAATAATTGGAACAGTTGCAAAATCCACTCCTATATTTCAAGGACCTATTATATTAAAAACTTTAACTAAAACTTTGTAATTGCAGGTTATATCTATTGTAAATATGTTTATTTATCTAATTTACTGTCTTTGTCTTATTTATTTTCAGAATTTAGTAAAATTTAAGCTAAATGTGTGACCTCTCTGAGTTCAAAAATGGGCAAATTGTTGGAGCTCGCATGGTAGTAGCCTTGATCACTAAGGTTGCTAAACTGTTTGGTTTTTCAAGAGCTACCATATCAAGAACTATGATGCAATTCAAGAAACAGGGTAAAACCTCTAGCAACCGTAGTAATTCGAAATGGACTTGCAAACTTACTGACAGGAACTGACGTGCATTGAAACACAATGTGGCAAAAAATCATCAGACAAATGTGGCCAAAGTGGTTGCTGAGTTGAATAACCATCTGAATAGTCCAGTTTCTACTAAAACTGTTCCCAGTGAGCTCCATAAGGCTGGATATCATGGAAGAGCTGCCATGAGGAAACCTCTTCTCTCCACTCGCAACATTCAGAAGTGGTTGAAGTGGTGCAGAGATTACAATGCCTGATCTGTGGACCAATGGAAGCAAGTCATATTCTCAGATGAGTTCAGTTTTTCTCTTTTCCCAACTTCAGGGTGAGTTTATGTGTGGAGGCAGCCCAAAGAAACTTACAACCCTGACTGCCTTCTTTCAACAGTGAAGCATGGTTGTGGATCAGTGATAGTTTGGGCCGCTATATGATTGAAATGTCTGGGTTCAATAGTTGCCCTGCATGGTAGAATCAACAGCAAAGATTACCTGAACATTTTGGGAGATCATGTTCATCCAATGGCCCAGACTTTATTCCCTGATGGTGACTGCATTTTCCAAGATAATAATGCTCCAATACATACTGCTCGAGTGGTTAAGAATTGGTATGAAAGTGAGCTAAAACACATGGAGTGGCCTCCCCAATCTCCAGATATCAATATTATTAAACATTTGTGGTGCATTTTGGAGCAACAAGTTAGGAGCCGCTATCCTCCACCGTCGTGTCGTAAAGAGCTGGAGAAGGTTTTAATGGAAGAATGACTGAAAATTCCTCTGGATGAAGTCAGGAAGCTGTATGATTCCATTTCTAGACATATTAAAGCTGTATGTGAGGCTAAAGGAGGACCAACTCCATATTAAATTAATTTTTTTAAAAATTTAACAAGTGTTTCAATTATTTTGTCCAACCCCTGTATTAGACCAAAAAACACAAAGATATTATGGTTGAGAGAATGAAAGTGTGAGAATTTCACACCACTCTCTGATTCTTTAGTGAGACTGACAACAATGTGGTAATTGCTAGTTGGCCAAATTCTTCAGATCTGTCTCATCTATCTCTCTCTTGCTCATTCCAAGAAACAATGCAAAAAAACAAAAAGAAAAAAAAAAAAAAAGGTTGTTGTCAATTCAGTGTGTGATGCAGTATTGGGCCCTGAAGAAAATAGAGACAACATGAAAGGCAACACTTTGGACAAACGACAAAAATAAAACTCATTAACAAAATCAAAAAAAAAAAAAAAAAAGTTGGTATTTACCTTCATAGGGAGAATTTTCAGGTCCTAAAACTGTGTAATGCCTAAAAAAAAAAAAAAAATCTCTTCAAAATTACATTTTTTCACACACACACACATATATATATATATATATATATATATATATATATATATATATGAAAAAATATAGTTTTAAGGTGTGCTATATTTATGGGATAGAGTGCTAAATATCAGAGATAGAGCATATGTAAATATAAATGTAAAAGTGAACATTGAAGTCAACATTCAGAGGCAACAGTTTCATGCTAGATGCAATCATCAGGCCACCGATTGAGTCGAGCATGAAACAGCCTGTCGGCTTTGAGTGTTGACTTCAATGTTCACTTTCACAAAAGTTGTAGCCCCTGTCTGTCTGTTTTTTTGTTATCAAACCCCTCCTTAATGCCACAGTTTTCGATTCAGTTTTTAATTCAGTATTTTTGCTTTTTAAGGAAGCCATTCATTTTCTTGTGTAATGATAGCATTTCCAGTCAATATATGATACGCCAGTCAACTGTTATTGGGGTTTTGCAAATAAATTTCTTCTAAACAAGGAAAGTCAATGAGTTATTTTTTTCCCCCTAAATAAATTTATGTTTTTATCTAGTGAATACACCTAAAATTAAATATTAAAAATAATTAAAAGCTTTTAATTTTATTTTTAGATTGTGTAGATTTCCAAATCTGTGAGTATTGCCTGTTCTTTTTTAGATAAACATTTTAAAAGTGAAATTAAAAACTATTTTAATCATTTTAATATATAATCTTAAGTGTATTCACTTGATAAAACCATAAAGATATTTGTAAATAGTGATAACGCTAAACTGATTGATTTTGGTTTGTGTAAAAAGTTTTGACGCAGTTTCAGTGTAATGATGAAACCAAAAAAAGTCAGTTTTCGGTTAAACTACCCTTCGATTTAAATTAAATTTAAACAAGGGAATAACTCCTGTCCAAAATATAGAAGGAAAAAGTCAGAAGATAGAGATCACATCAGTAAGATTGTTGAGTAATAATGAAATGCATCATTTTTCTCCACAAATTATAACAATGATTTATAATCAAACATCATTTTCTTGCAAAAAAAAAAAAAAAAAAAAAAAAAAAATAATGTGTGACATGCAGCAACACACAGGTAATTCAACTAGTATAATATAAAATTGTTATCAGAGTGAGAGGTATGGTTCCCCAGTAGCATTTGATGCTACTCAAAGTTTCATGCACGTGACAATTATCAGACATAAATATAAAATTATCCTCAAACTCATTTATTTTATGACTACAAAAAAGATAATTGGGAAAATATGGACCTTTGTGGCCACAAAAAATACAGTATCAAAAGGATGTTATTTTTTTATATGAAACTGCTTTTATTTGTAGTTTAAATAAGTTTTTATTGTTACGATGTCACTGGTACAAATCAAGATACCACTGGTTCAATTTGCCGTCCTTGCTTTCTGAACACATCACCACATATATCCATCATTCCTTTTTCCCATTTTCACTGCTCCAGCCCTCTTTTATCAGGCCAACACCGCAGTCGACCAACCAATCAGCGTTCTTCGCTTTTATTCTCAGTTACCCAGGCATATAGCTTCCTCCAGTTTGACCTATCAGCAAACGACTTGCTATTGGTGGAAGCATGCCAAACTGTACAAAAAACTCGTCACTGCACATACTGCTAGAATGGCTGGACGGGAGAGTAATGCCATTTTCACGGAGCAAACTTGTCAACGTCATGTGCCACACATTATGATAAGACCCTTATTTTCCTATGCACCAGATGCAATCACTCTGGCTTGCTTGGTTCTACGGGGCTGTTCCCCCCCCCCGAATCTCATGATCACAAAACATACAGTCGCAAGCAGGTCGTTTTTGCCGGGTACTTCACCGAGGGAGTGGAGCAACACAAGCTTCATATTCAGATGAACTGTCATTAGGAGACTAGCAGGATGTACCCCATTAGTATTTTGGACACTAATAGTTGGGGAGTCATCTTCCTCATTTGTGTCGTCTATAACAGATCCAGTATCAAGAGAGTGATCAGTTTCTCCTAATGGGGTTGATCTCAAATTTGCTAACCACTCACTCTCTTCAGAATCATTGTCCTGTGTAGTTGTTGGGACCAATCCCATGAAGGGACACAAGTCCTTTACATGACGCAGAATTCCATCAACGTGCACTGACTGTGGGCTATTAACTGGAGTCACGACCCATTCTAAATTTAGTTGTGCATCTCCTGTGAGGAGTTTTCACCCAAACGACGTCTCCCACTTCATATGCTCTTTCAGTATTCTGAGGTTCAATGGGAGACACAGCCTCAATGCCCCATATATGGGTATGGTACCTATGAAGTGCATCAGCTGGTGCAGTAGTAAGCAAGTGGTTATCTTTAGGTTGTAGCGTTATACCAGTATACTGTCTCCTGTATAGAGCACTGCTTTCTAGCTGCAATGGCTTTGATGCTTCAGCAATTTTTTTCTAATATACCATTCCCAGCAGGTGCATAGGCACACCGGAACCACAAATGTACACCCCAATTACTCAAAATTTTTTTGAAATGTTTGCATATTATTTTAACTACCTTTATTCCTTCGCAATGTTTAGAATTGTAATAAAACTTAAACATAGGAAAGTAAATTTATCCATTGTTTTTGTCCTTGAGAATTTACAACAACAAAAAAAAAAAACCAACACTATTTATTTATTAGATTGCTTATTTACATTATATTGTTTATTGGAATGTTTGGTAATTGCCAATTGTTTTGAACTTTATAAAATGGTAAATAACAAGGATTTCCTTATAGTTGCTTCACATATATTAACAATTTAGTAAATATTTATAAATTTATGAATAAAAAATTTTCATATTTATTTAATTACTAGCAGTATAACCCATCTTCAATTGGGTGTTTCATTACTGGGAATTTTTATTCAGTTGGAGGAGTTTTAAGTTTAAAGTTAGCCCACTCAAAAATCAATATTAGTAACAGCAATTGGATGCACATCCCCTAATGGAGGGGGGGGGGAGACAATTTGAATGCGGGGTTGCCCTGAAAAGGGATGTCTTTACGTTCTCAAACTTTCAAGGAAGGAAAATCTAATAATAATAATAATAATAATAATAATAATAATATACGATAATTTTTATTCATAATATAATTATTTTATAATTCTAATAATCTTTTGTCTTAGATTTCAACTCACTAAATTGATTGTACACTGTCTTTTACAGACATTAAATTTTGCCTTTGTTTTTTGTGCAAATTATAAAAAAAAAAAAAAAAAAAATCAATTTTTCCCCTCAAGTTTGCAATTTTTTCAGCCAATTTGAACTCAAAACTGGCACTGAAGAATTATCTATCAAACCCAAAAAATTTCATCAAAATCGGATGAAAACTGTGGAAACACATAAACAACATCCGATCACACACACATTTTGAGATTTATAGATATAGATAAATTGGTAAATGATAAATATTGTATTGTATTAGTTTTAATTGTCTTAATATTTAGGATATTGTAAATCTAAAATTATTCTTGTAAATAAACATAATAATTTCATAGTGCTTATAGCTTTTGTTGTAAATTCTAAAAAAAAAAAAAAAAAAAAAAGAGAATAATGTATAAATTCACTTTCATTATATGTCTAGGTTTTATTACAATTCTAACAATCACCTTTTAAAGCAATAAACATTGCTGAGAAGTACTTTAAATAATAGTAGTGTGAAGGGAAAAACATCCTTTTCACACTTCGTTTTTTTTTTCATGTGTATGAAAGTTCATGTTTGCCAAACATTATTTCATATTTAGCAAAATAATGTTACTAAAGGAGTTGGGTAATACTTACCATTCCAAAATATTTGAAGGGAGGGGTACAGCCTTCACGTAGGGTACAGGGTCCTTCATAATTCTCAAGTAATCTTGTTTTAATCGTGCTGTTGCAGTTGTGTTCACCCTTTTGCAAGCCATCTGCAAAGAGAAAATTTTGAGTAAATTGTCTTCCTCTATTCAAAAAATAAAAAAAGGGTTTCTAGAAGAAAAACCCTGAGTATCTACAGGCAAAAGTCTCAGTTTATTTATGAATTATTGTGCAGTAACAGTAATCTGAATTGGAAATATACCAAATAAAATATTGGAAAAAACACACTGTTTAATCCTGTTTATATTCTGGCTTTTAGGAGAGGAATTAATTCAGTATATGTTGATGTTAGTCTTATATGCCATGTCCCTTCAGGACGTTGATGATTATGGCTCTCAACAATGTCCTGTCCTATTTAAATCTTTTTCTTATCTCTCCTAAACCTTGTTCTACCACCCATTTGCTCAAGCTCATTCTTCTTTTTGTATGTGCTGTGTCCTTTCAAGACATTGGTGATTATGGCTCTCCACAATTTCCTATCCTTTGTAGCTCTTAATAAATTTTATCTTTTTGTTATCTCTTCTGAACCTTGTTCTGTCATCCATTTATTCAAATGTGCTTAGGTAGGTTATGCGTAGTTTCCCCTGTCCTCCTTGCCTTCTGTCTTGTATCAAATTTTCCAAGCCTGCTTTTCTCATAATGTTCAAGAAATTTGAGCTATTTCTTCTTGATCTTAAGTATAAATATCCTTTTTGTATTAATTTTCTTTCAAATGTTGCTCGCATGTTCCATCCATGGTATTCTCAGTAACCTTCTGTAGAACTGCATTTTTGTTGCTTCATTTCACTTCTTCATCTTTGAGGAGATTGTCCAGCATTTATGGCCTTATAAAAGGACTGGCTTTAAGGTCTTTACAAAAACTTAAAGCCAAAGGAAATTCCTGCTTCTCATTCATTTATTAATAGAATAAGTCAGTGATTTGAAATAACAAATAATGCTGCTAGAAAGAAAGGGGAGTCACAAGGCCAAGTGACTTATCATAAAGAGAGAAATGAAATTTGCAATACCCTAAAAATGGTGAATTAAATGATTTAAAAATGTACAAAAAATAAAATCATTAAAGACGAGATTTCAGAATCTTCAACAACACATCTCAGGGTAGTGACATTGTTCAAGTGTTTATTGCATGAAACTGCTGGATGATAATTTCGATGGACTACAAATTGGATAATAATTATTAAAATTTTCAGAAGAATAGAGTAGGTTGAATGGTTGAGAAAAAATAAATAAATAAATAAACGAGTTAAGAATTCTGTTTTAAATGATAAAATGAATTTAAGAATGGTTCCAAAGTGAATCGAATCAAGAATTAACTAGCCAAGATTCAGTAAAATTGAGCAAGACCAAGGTTCCCCACCCCTATGCATTTCCTGTTGATAAGAAGAAAACAGATTAATGTATTGTCAGAATTTTGGTCCTGAGAAATTAAATTTGCGGTTTTGTTTACATTTATACTATCCATCCAAAACATGTTTATTCTTACAGAAAAAGGTGACCCAAATTCTTTTAACCATTACCACACTGCAGGTGACAATAGTTGCCATAGAATTCTCTATTTTTGCTACTCTAGACGCATTCTGTTGCCTTGAGACGGTTGCTATAAATAAACACTTGTTAACTGTTATTTCTGGTATTTTAAGCTGAAAATTGTTGACTACTGCTTTGGAAGAAGGTTAAACTTTTGTTTTCCAATGCCATTTTAAATTCTTCTAGACTCTACATGGTGTAACACCAATTAAACCCACATTAATTTTTTTGCGATTTTTTGTAAACAAAAATGTCTGTATTAACATCCGATGAAGCCTTTATTCAGGAGTTTTTCTTTGATTAGGACTCCGAAGATGATTCTGAAGGCTTTACTCAAGTGGATATTGATGGTGAAGTAGCCAAAGATGATAACCACACTAGTGATGTGCAGGAAAGTGATGATGACCACTAGCAGCTACTATCATCCATGCCTGACTAATTTTATGGAAGCTACTGGCAACAATTGATAGTAGCCTTTCTGAAGGTGAATTATTTTATCTATTTATAAATGATGAAATAATAACTTTATTTGTTGACACAAATAAATATGAGTCAGGTGAAAGAAAGAGTAACAAATGCTGGTTTCTTCTTGTAAGTAAACATGAGGAAACATGTCACTTTTTTGACAAAATGAAAGCCTTCTTAGCAATTTTGCTTCTTCTTGCACCCCCAGAATTCCACAAGGAGTAATAAAAGTTAAAGTACTTTCAATTGTTTATGTATTTTTTAATGTATTTGGTTTTTATTTCACATTTCAATTTTTTTTGTTTTCAACGTCAAAACATGCATGCAAAATGTAATGCATTGCATCAAAATATTAGTCATTTGTTCTTTTATTAGTGTATAAAAATTAAAATCTCTATGCACAATACAAAGTAAGTTATAACAATTTTAAAACAGTAGGTGTTCAGGTTTTTTCACACTAAAAAAAAAAAAAAAAAAAAAAATTTGCAGTGGAGGGGGGAACAAAGAATTTAGTGTGTCAAAGGTTAAACAAAGAAAGGCATCTGGGTCATATCTAAAATCTAAGACTTGGTGTTAGTTTACAGTCATGTTATCCATCCAAAACATGTACATTCTTACAGAATAGAGTTACCTAAATTTATTTAAACAAAGAAAGGCAATGTGAGTTATGCCTAAATCCCAAACTCGGAGTTTGTTTATATTGATGCTATCCAGCCAAAACACAATCATCATTTAAGCTTAACAGAAATAAAGGGCAGAAAATTCTAAAAAAAAGATAGCCATGTGCCTATTAAAAAATCCCCAAAGATTAAGATGATCAGGATGAAGAAATTAGATGTATCAATATTAAATTTTTTTTTGGGGGGGGGGATCTATATGCACAAAAGCAGAAAGAAAGCCAGATGACCTGTAAAGTTGATATTACTTATCAATGGTAGCAGAACTAGCAGAGAAGAGTGTGAATAGTGGGCGGGTTACATTTGATCTAGAATGCAACTGAAGACATCAGGAAAAGAACCCAGCCAGAAAAAACAAAAACCAACAGAGAAAACAGCCATGAATAAGATCTGCAAAAATACAGAGGACAGCCACGAGTAAGACACAATGAACGGATAAGATAGGTTGAACATTAATTTTCCTCCGTTCCTTTTCTTTCTTCAGTTGTCTACCGCTGAGACTTCTCTTTGGAGTGATTGTGATTTCCTTAATCATTTTTTTTTTTTCCTCGGTTGGTTATGTTTGTGAAGTTAGAATATAGCAAAAGAGTCTGTTGAAAAAAAAAAAGAAAAAAAAAGAGAAGGATATTGTGAGTGGCTTGCGTCTGATAAGCACCTCAACAGGTTAACAACAAACCTGAATGTCACAAGTTTGAAGCTGTTGCATTTTGATGACAAGTTTAGGCCCTGGCTGCAAGCCCTCAACAAAAAGGCCATAATATATAAGTTGACTGATGCAAAGCTGGTTACTCAGGCATTTGATTATACAAAGAATGAAGCTTCCAACTTTGTGATGTCACTGTTGAAAGGAAACAGATTACCTGGGCAGAGTTGCAGGCTGCACTTAGTAGGCAATTTAGTAGCTTGGTTAGCCTTGCAGAAGAAATGCGAACATTGACAGGGGCTGTGCAGAAAGGAGGACAAACTCTGGTGGAATTGTTGTTGAGGATCAAAACATTAGCAGTTTGGTTTATTTTGTTTTACGACATATCAATGTGACATTATTTAGTTATGGTAATTGGTTAACTAATTAACCATAGAAATTAAAACAGAAAATACAAATTCTTAAAGCGAAAAAGAGCTATCTCGAAAGATAGACTGATCGTTATAAAAAAAGAAAAAGATTTTATTCTATTTACGAAAAAGATACTTTTCACAAAAGACAGTAAACCCGTGGAAAAAGCCATGTGTGAGGTCTTGTCAGTTTGATTTATGTCTCGCCGAGGGAGATAGAAAGCAAATATGAAGATATCAGCCAAACCACATGCCGGTCATAAACATTTCAGCTTGAGACGATCACAGGTACAGGACAGGGAGAATCAATGTTAATTATCTTTCCAAAATATCATTTATTTTTCTTTTCTTGGCCACCAGGAGAAAGAAGCAATGTGGTGGTTATAAAATTTTGGCATTGTCTCGACATAGGTGAGAAAATTGTTATTATTTACCTTATCAACGTGTTGCTGCAGATGCTGAGACGTAAAGAGCAATCTGGCCATTGAAAAATTTTGGCATGAGGCAGAAACTAGAGTGGAGAATCAAGATTTGGCGAGATAAAAGGATTTAATTTCTCAACAAGCCAAGGATTCCATTATAAAGCTAACTTCACAAAGGGACCAGATGGCAAACTTTGACAGTGATTGATGGAGTCGGTAGAGAGTGCTAGCTAAGTGAATTCTGGGTAGCCAAAAGATATGATAAAAATTTAATTGGCACATGGAATTCATAAAACTTTTGGCCGATGGAAAAAAGGGGAATTATGTAAACAAAAATTTTAGATTATAATTTTAAGGAGGCCAGCTTAGCCACACCCACACGGGCAGAGTGCCATTGGTTGAGTGGTAGCAATGGTAATAGGTGGAGGTGAATGCATGAGAAAGAGAAGTTATTAATGCCCACTGAAGGGATTGGTATGAGATATCAATGTGAGAGAGAAGGAGTCTAGGAGGATAGCTCTCCTCCGACCTTCCCTCACGGATGATGGAGACCTCCCACCCACTGAAATGGAAAGTGATTAATTTTCCCAAAATGGGAAGTAATCAATTTTCCTGGCCTGACAACAAAGAGATTTCTTGTTAGAAATCAAGATTTACCGAGAACCCCATATAAACGAACGTTGATGGGTCGTTCAGTTATTTAGTTAGTCGCAGAGAGAGTGACAGTTGAGCTGGTTTTAGAGTCAGAGTCAGAGCTTAACCAGAGTGTTGCCTCGCAGAAACTGACCGAGACATTTCATGACCTCCGATTTCACCTATTCTACCAATAGCAAGTTATGCTGACGAATGAAGTCAAGCCAACACCTAAGAACTAAATCAGTTGACTTGAGATACCAACTTGTTTGA